CTCCTCCTCCCCCTCCCCTTCCCCTCCTCCTCCTCCTCCTCCTCCTCCTCCTCCTCCTCCTCCTCCTCCTCTCCTCCTCCTCCTCCTCCTCGTCCTCCTCCATTTTCCTCCTCCTCCCCCCTCCTCCTCTATCTGCTTCATCTTCCGTACTCCTCTTCCTTCTCCCTCCCCCCGCAGCCTCCTCGCCCCCCATCCGTCTTGGGTGGTGGCGAACGTGGTACACTTGCGCCTTTTGCCCCGTGCCAGCGTTGGCATGCCGAGCGCGCCCAGCGCCAAACCGATCGGACGGCACAGCCTGCTGCCTCCTCATCCCTCTTTTCCTCGTCCTCTTACGCCTCCTCCTCCGCCTCCTTTTCCATCCCGTTTCCTTTGATATACGTTTTCCCTGCGGCACCCCGAAGCGCGTCGGTAGGGCGAGGCAGGCGTTTCGCCTGAGACGTCCTCGCCATTTACAGCCCTGAAGTTCTAATTTCGCACCGGTTGCAATGATTACGCACATGCCATTTTGAATTTTGGACGCATGAGCGCCGCGCACATTCTTCTTAAAAGATTGCAACAGCTACGGGGGCGGAGGGCGGGTGGTTTTCAAAATGGGGCGATCACCTCAGCGCCGCGCACATGTGTCTTAATCTTGCAGCAGCTACCATGGTGGAGGACGGTTCCTCTTCAAACTGGATATTTCGCTTTGGACTTCATTGACATTCAAAACAAAAACTTCAACCGATGTGGCAGTCTTGCAGGAGAGCGGATCCTTTTCCCAATGGGAGTCTCGTTGCGATTCCCTCAAATACATAATCAGCTTGCCTGCATTCCCATCCCTGCCAGGCTCTTAAGGGGGTCCCAGCGAGACAGGGCCTCATTTTTTCCTTCAGTGCGATGACGCGCGAAGCGGGAAGCAACAGCTGCCCAGCCAGGCAATGAGCAAAAAACTGTCAGCGATTCATTGATGGCAAGCCCCCTTTCAGGGGTAGAGAGAAAGAGAAAGCGAAGGAGGGCGGGATGGAAGAGCTTGAGCCGTAACAGGTACGGCAGAGAAACACACGTCGCAAGCATAAAGCCGTGAAGACACCTAGCTCGCCTACATTCCAATCTCTGCCGGGCTCTGAAGTCCCAGCGAGACGGGACCTCGTTTTTTCTTCCAGCGCGAGGAAAAACGCGAGGCGGGAAACAACAGCTGCCCAGCCGGGCAAGGAGCAAAAAAACTGTCAGCAACTCGTTGATGGCAAGCCCACTCCCGCAGGCGAGAAATGGCCGCTTGGCCGCATCATGCACCCAATCGAGCAGCGATAACTTCGGCACGCTGTCGATCAAAACCTGCTATCAGCACCGATGCAATCTCAGAGCACAATTGACTATGGTAAGAGCAAGCGAACGAAGTCCAATGCCTTTTTTTCTGACAGGGTCGCGGCCGACAAGCTCGAGGTGAGCGCAGCCTGTGCGCGAACATGTTCCAGCTACAGGGCGGCAGTGGCCAAGCTTCAGACACTCGGAGCCAACGCGCCAGAAGGCGATCCTGGTTCTCTTACGCCAGGGCTCACCAGACTGGCAATAATCGAGTACTACTTCATGGCACTGCGAGTGAGATAGCAACTTCTTCATGGCAGGCACCTGCCACATTACAGAGGTGCGAGGGTTCTAGACGGCAAGAGAACAATTGTACAAAATGCAGAGGCGCACGATGTTGAGAGTGAACCTGAAATGGCGGTTTCCCACGCTCACCGCTGCTAGGTCCTTATCAGAAAGACCGGGGACGCCGAGGGGGGAAGAGAAGCGGGGGGCGCCGAGCAGCGGAGAACGCGGCGCAAGGGGTGGCTAGCCAAGCGCAGCAAATAGCCTTCGAGAGGTTCCATCCTCGCACGCGACGAACAGAGGCTGGCAAGAGATGGTTCTCGGCAGCGCGCTGTAAAATGTCGAGGCCAAGCGAACTGCGGCCACGGCGACGCAACTGCTCAGCAAGGCTAGCACTGCCACAAAAGAGCTCAAGGAACAAACAACACCTGCGGAAATCCTGCCCTTCGCGCGCAGCCCTCTGGAACACAAGCGCACGCCGACGCTCGACATCGAGCGCAGAGGAAGCCAGCGCAGCGGCTTTCCGAGGCAGGAGGGCGCGAGGCGCGTCCGAGGCGCCAGCCGACTGACCAGCCCGCTCTCCTTCAGCCTCTGCTCGGCAAACAGGGCGAAGTTGCTCTCGACCTGCCATCCGATCTCGAGCGTGGAGCTGGGGGTCCTGTTGGGCCGCGCCAGCACTCAAGTCCCCCCCTTCACCTGAAGAGCTGGCTCGATGCTCGGCGGCCGCGGCGTTGAAAGGCCTGCCCGGCCCCGCTCTCCTCCAGGAAGGAGGTCGTCGGGGCCCCCGCGGTGGAGGAAGGAAAGGTAGGGCTCCGGCGCCTCCAGCCCGAGGGGGTCGCAGGCCAGCTTGACCTGCTCCGCGAGGCCTGCTGGCGCGGGCGGCATCGGCGACTCGCCGAAGTCCATCGGCCAGCTGCGGCGCCGCTTCTCCGCAGCGGGCTTCACCGCCGTCTGATCCAGCCCTGAGAGGGTAGGCGGAGTTGGTCTCTGGACAGCTGTCGCTCGCGCCAGGGCGGAGCGCTCCTGTCGAAACTGCTCTGCCGCCGAGCGGCGGCGCCTCCGCCCCGAGGGCGTCCGACGCGGTGCCTCCGGCAGGGCGTGAAAGGCCTGGTAACGCACGCGCAGTGACAGAAGGCCCCGGGGGTTGAGCCTGAATAGTTGCAGACGGATCGCGGCCAGGAGCTGCCTCGCACGACTTAGCTCGGCGACTGGGCCAACTAAACCAGCCGAGCTTGCCTCTAGAGCCCTCGTCTGACGGGTTCGCGGCGAAAACTATTTGGGCCCCTGGATTGCGCGATGACCGTAGAGCATGACGAAAGGCTTGTGCAGCCGCGTCCCCTTCGAGGCCCAAGATGTTGCCTGGAACCACCACCTGAGACGCCAAAACAGCGCCCCACTTGAAGGCCTCCAGGAGATCGGCCAGGATCTCCCCGAAGACGGCAGACTTGACCTTCATGTAAGACATGACGTTCTCCTCCTCCGCCCCAAAAGACGTCGCCCCCCCCCGGCTGGTGCGCGATGGAGTCGACAAAGCCACTTGAACACGGTGGAAGTGGAGAAGATCCGAGGGCGCACGAGCGAGCTTGTTCAGCGCCAGCCACCCGATACCTCCAGCGCTCGCTGCACTGCCCGACTTCGCCGGCAGTGGATCGGGCCACGCATCGGTGACAGGCCGCCAGCCCAAGCGGTGGCGCATCGCTGCAGCGCAGGTCCAGCGACCACTGAGCTCTCCAGTCAACGCGGCAGAGAGGCGACTGGCAACGGACGCGCCAGAGCTCCTGTCTCATACAAGGCCACAGGGTATGTTGGGACGGTGAGTCGATGCATCTCTGGGTAAACGCGCAACAATCGTACCAGACAACGCACCAGACAACGCACCCTGTAATACACTGCATCATCTTACCTGAGGCCATCCCCCTGCGAAGAAAATGTTCAATCCCAAGACGTAGCCGCCATGTTTTTGGTCTTCAGACTCACTGAGTGCCCATCCGTCATCTGCAGCCCCGCAAAGACTGGACGCCTCCGGCGCCTCGTGATCGACGAGCCCCTTCCCCTGGAGATCCGAAATGATAGCTCGATTCACCTTGTTCGTGGCGCTCTCACTGGCAGAGAAGACGAAGAAGTTATCGACGTAGGCGGCGGCAACGACGGCAGTGGGCGACGAGGGTCTCGGCGGGACCTGGCCGCCCTCGATCGCTGCGTGATCCTGTATTCCGGCGTCTCGGAGCGATTGCCTAACTACCGCCTGGCATAGATGCATGGCCCAGCCTCGCCCCATGAAGCGCAGCTAGATTAGGGGAAACAGGAGTGCCTGGGCCAAGCGAGACCCCGTCATTTGCGTGGACCTCGACTAGGACGCAAGAAACAAACGGGGGGCTAATGTACTCCTCGAGGCCTTGAGGGACCTTCAAGCGATAGAACGCACAGCTTAAATCACCAGGCGCCCCAGAGGCCCCTGTTGGACCTGTCTGAAAGCCCGCGAAGGCCGATTGGGGGCGAGGGGCGAGTAGAAGCCGCCTCTACAAAATAGCAATTACACACCCATACATCGAAGATGGTGCGAAACTGACCGTTTCGTTTCGCTGCAGACACTACTCCTAAAAGCCCAGACCGGGAAAGCTCGCGACGCCACGCAATCGCTCCACACTTCTGGAGCTGAAGCAAAAAGTCTCGGTAGAGGGACGGAGAGCGGAGGGCGGGGTCAACGCGAGGGCCATTCGCGCAGATCGAACGGCGCTGCTTCTCTGCCACATCAACCGGCCAAAGCAAATTATCACGCCACGACCTTAGCCAATCACGATCGACATGAGACAGGCAGGACTCCACGGGGGCGGGGCTGCTTCCGACCTCAGGCCAGGCCACAAGATGGCGTGCAGACGGCTTGCGGGTAGAGCTATCGGGATAAGTAGCTGACCCGGCAAGAAGCTCACGGAGGGTCCCCTTGCAAGTTACATCGGCCGGATGGGCCCCCCACCTGTTTGAAGCAATCCAAGATGCGCCGATGCGCGAAGCGCTGAGACGAATTGAGAGAGGGAGGAGGGAGGCCAGAAGGACTGGAACAAGTGGCTCGCGGAAACCCACACAGCTGGTTCAGGATACTAATGGAAGCGCTCGCCCAATCCAGCACGCGCGCACGGCGGCGCTCTCTCCGCTTGACAGCGTGACGTGCGCGGCCCGGGCAAACGACGCCAGACCGACTAGGCAACAGAGGCAGCGGGAACAGTTCTCTCTGGCGGTCAGCTCTCCGCGGTGCCGATGCCGAGGACGAGAAAGGAGGAGGGGTGGAGCCATCGCTTTGCGGCTCGTTGATCGGCCCGGGGCGCCCCCTCCGATGCGCCTGGCGTCTCCCTGGGTCATGCGTCATCTCTCCTCCTGCCCCTGCGGGCCGCTTCTGGTTATTCTCGTGATTTGCGACGTTCCCTGAACAGCACGTGCTCGCGGCCCAGCGCCGTGGCCGCCCACTCGGTCAGTTCTAGGCACGCGCAGGCGCCTGACCTGATGATGTCCGCCCCGTAGTAAAGGTGAGAGTCACCCACCGAGTCATACTTGTGGCCACTGAGCCGCTCCCGCCAGTTCACCTGCTGCATCTGTACGGGGTGGGCAAGGTGCTCGGCCGTCGCGCAGCTGGGCAGATTCATCTGGTCGTAGAGCGCCATGGCCTCCAAGTGCTGGCAGCACCGCTCGTGCTCGGCCACCCCCGCATCCAGCGCCTGGAGCTGTGCATCGTGCTTCCAACGGGCATGGCGCCCCATCGGCGAGCCGCCGTTCTGCCCGATGTAGCAGCAGACCCCTAGGCATGAGCGGGGGCCCTCGGTGGGCCAGTCCAGGAAAGGACCGTCCCGGAAACCGAGCCATGCCCTGACCTGGGGAACATGGCGCTCCTCCAGCAGGTCAAACTAGATCGGAACCACGCGCAAGTCGAAGTGGTCGCCGAGCCCGTCAGAGCCAGCAGCAGGCGCGCCCGCCCCCAGCGCACCGCCCGCGGCGCGAGCCGCAGCGGTCACGGTGGCAGCGACTGCCGCGCCACCTCCAGCAGGACCAGCGGCGGCCCCTCCAAGGGCAGGAGCAGCGGCGCCCGCAGCGACCCCGCCGCCGGCCGCCTCCGATGCGGCCGCGCCAGCAGCTACGGGCAGCGACGGCGCGCCGGCGGGCGCCGGCTGGGCAGCCACGCCGGGCGCCGCCACCAGCCCTCCAAGCCCAACAGCGGGGGCGAGGGCGCCGGCCCCAGCAGCTCCGCCGGCGGAGACGCCCGCGGGGGCTGCGGCCGAGGTGGCGCCAGCAGGGGCCGCGGCGCCAGCCCCAGCTCGTCTACCGACGTTGGGCACGAGCTCGCCGGGGGGGGCGGCTGTCCAGTGCCTAGCGCAGGCAGCGGCGCAAATCGCGGTAGCGGAGGCAGCAGTCAGCACCGCTCGGAAGCGGTAAGGGGAGCCGCCCCCGACCACTCCAAGCGCGCCACCCGCCGCCATGCCAGAGGCCACCTGCACCCCGACGATGTCGGATCCGCCGAAGTTCTCGTCGTACTCACATCGTCGTCAGGCGTGGCGATCGACACGAGCGACCCAGCGTTGTCCAAGCACGGCGATCACTCTATCGGGCCAGAGCCGCTGGGCGTGATTGTAACTGACATGCACAAAACGCCATCGGCCGCTCCATACGCAACTGCAACAGGGTGAGCTGCCATCGCGTCAGCGTCGGGCCAGCGCCGTCGCCGCACCTCGCCGCGTCTGCCGGCGGCGCCGGCGGGCGGACCACCCTCGCAGCATGGAGGGAAGGGGCCGCCCTTGAGCCCAAACCAGTCGATGGCGAGGCCTGCGAGCTGGACGGATCGCCGATATGGCCAGCCCCGCGCCGTCCCGCGAGGTACCCTGGTCCTGCCGCCGACGCCAGGCCGCCAAGCAAGACGATGAGCGAGATGCCCCCCTGGTTGAAGGAGCTCTGAGGCACGTGCTCCAAGCTCGGGTACTGCAGGTGTGGAGCGCACTGGCACTCCGGACAATCGAACGAAGGGCAGACGCCGCAGGTCACCGCCGGCTCGCACAAAGGGCACTGCCAGAGCCGCCGCGCGCAATATTAGGAATCCTGCGAACAAGTTCGGTCCCCGCCCGGAGAAGGAATGTCTGCGTCGATGGCGCATGACCAAAGAGCTTGAGCCGTAACAAGTACGGCAGAGAAACACACGTCGCAAGCACAAAGTCGTGAGGACACCCATAAATGTGAACGTATGCATCAACTCCACTGATGCGGTGCGGCCATTTTTCAAAACAAACAAATCGCTAAACGCATCAATGAACCGTAAGGTCATACATGCTGGCAGTCCGTACGCGCTGGAAGGATGTAAAGTAGTTCTTGTTCAAAGCGGGGCTATCGCCTGAACGGCAGCCCACAGAGTGCTGGCCTTTCAAAGTGACACTTATTGCAGTTAAGAGGAAGATTTGTGCTGACCGGCGAGGGGGACACTTGGAGCGGGGGGGGGTATTGCAACAGCTGCGGGCAATTTAATATGTTTTCCTCGTAGCACCACCACATGTGTCGGTAGGGCCGGACAAGCATGCCGTAATACTTCCTCACAACTTATGACCTATGTAGAAGCTGGCTGCACGGAAGGAGGGCGAATCGTTTTCAAGGCGCGATTCTCGATCCAGTGCCGCGCACATTAATCCCACAGTCTCCCAAAACTTGAAGATCGAAGACAGTTTAAATCTTGCATGTTTCTCACCCTGGCGCCCTCCGCATTGGTGTTGACGGTTGCCATCACCTACAGGGTGAACGGCACATTGGTCTTGGAATAGACGGCAACGGTACGAGGATGGAGGACAGCTGTTTCCATAACGCGGTTCCAGCCTCGCCCATTGGCCTGTCAGGCTTCCAGCAGCGACGAGCATGGATGGCGCAGTCTTTCTGAGTTGGGCTCTCGCCTGAGACCGATTGGAATGTGCATCCGTAAGCAAAACAAGCAGACGCTGCACGGACGGAGGGCGGGTCATTTTCAAAAAATTGAGCTTTCGATCAAGACTGCTTCGACTTAAACAGGGGACTAGTGAATAGAACGTTGGGCAGCGGTTGCACGGACGGAAGGCGATGTCTTTTCAAAATGGGGATATCGCTAGATATTTGAAGTTGATGACCACAGCCGTAGACTGAGGAAACTCTTGCACGGGTCGAGATCGGTGCTTCTTTTAAGATCCTAGCTTTTCGTGGTCCTCAGAATTAGCTCAAAAGGACACCAGGCTGCCATGTTTCAAACCAGGTTTCCTGCATGAAGGGTAGGCCCACGGGGCGATTATCGTTCAAGGCAAAGCTTTCGACGATGCATCGCGGTTTTAGTCTGGTCCTCTCCGTCGCTCTGGGGGCGTCCCTGGCGGGCCAGAACAGAGATCCCGAAGCGCTCAAACACGTTGATATTATCCCTCCCTCCTTCTCTACCTCCTCCTCCTCCTCCTCCTCCCCTCCAGTCCTCCTCCTCCTCCTCCTCCTCCTCCTCCTCCTCCTCCTCCAGTCCTCCTCCTCCTCCTCCTCCTCCTCCTCCTCCTCCGCGTCCTCCCTGTCCTGCTGCTGATACCGACCTGAGGGGGAGTCCCGTATCGTCCACCACGTGAATTGGGCATGGGGCTCAGGGGCGGGCAGGGCGGGGACGCAGTGGCAACAGCCGCTCCACCGAGAGCACAGTCATGCTGAAACTGAGAATCGAAAAAAAGATCCAGAGACATAGAAAATCCGCGGGCGGCCTCTGGAACCTCGTCGCCTGGGAGTCCGATGGGGGTTCCCGACGGCACATCCTCCAAGAAAATACACGCAAGGAACCTGCATAACCCGGCAGGGCAGTGTTTTAACGCAGCGGTTCGGAACACCCCGCTCGTCCTCCCGACCGCCGCCACATGTCCCCCGGGGTGCTGGCACCGACCGCCTCCTATCCAGCACCTGGCAAGCCTACCGAGAAAGGGAGAATGGATGCCGAGGAAGCGGGTAGGCTTGAGGGAAATACAACAGAACATACACTGGTCAATTCGCATGGTAGACGCACAAGGGAGCGAATCGAGCCAAGCGAACTCGGGTATTCTCCAGCTCGACGTAGCGCCAGTCCTTCTCCTCCTCCTCCTCCTCCTCCTCCTCCTCCTCCGCCTCCTCCTCATCCTCCTCCGCCTCCTCCTCCTCCTCCTCCTCCTCCCTCCTTCACCCTCCTCCCTCCTCTTTTCACCCTCCTCTCTCCGCCCTTCTTACACGGCGCGGGCTTTGTCTACGGATGTAGGGTCGCCCGGCCTCCTTCTGAGAAGAAGCCTTTTCTAAGAATCCCCCCCTTTTCCCACTACCTCCCTGTGCGCGCCGCCACGGAGGAGCCAGGGGGAGGAACCGGCGCGACAAAGGGGGGCGGGAGAGTGGAGGGAAAAGGTCGCCAACAAAACCGACGCACCCACAGGGAACCCCCCTGGGGTGGGTTCTCCAAGGTGGCGTCGGCGGAGTCGGCGACCCTATGGTTAGGATCGCTGGTGCTCGCGCTGCCCCCCGGCAGGTCTCCATCCTCAACCTCCCCCCATCCCGAACACTCCCCCCCTCCACGTGCCACGGGGCGGCGGCAGGCAAAGCTCGCGGGGAGGCACGACCCCTGCGGGGAGACCGGCGTCGAAACCTGCTCCGTCGAAGAGCATGCCGCGCCGTTTTGCGGCGTGTAGGAACACATCACAAGAACGTGACGTCCCATCCCTTCAACCCCCCAACGTAAGCGTAGGCGCGATGGTGAATCACGATGGTGACAGAAGACGGAGCAGTAGTGTCGGCGCGGACGATCACTCAGCAATCCCACGCCGCTGGCCTTCTTTCACAAGAGCGGACCACCACCCGTGTGGAGAGTACTGTTCCGAGGCTGTGCTCCGCGCTCCCTCCAAAGCGGCGACCCTTGGGGGTCGCCGTCGAAGGTGCTCACCCAAGGCCTTGTAAGCGTGAGCACCGAGGTCGTAGGCGATGGCGACGGCCTTGTCGAAGGCCTCTTCAGGGATGAGACACGTATTGGTCCGACATGTTTTTGTTGGCCGGCATGCGCGCTGGCTGCTCTTGCCAAACACGCGGGCCCTCCATGCAAAGTCTGGGTCTGCCTGGCTGGTATGAAGGCGGATGCGGCACTCGCGCTCCGGCCGCTCGGCCTCCGTCTCGCAGTGGAGATGGGCCTGTCTGGCGCTCGGCTGGAGATTTCGATCCTCCGCCTCCCGCTTGGTCAACCTCCGTGCTTCGGGCCTCCACCTCTCGCCCAGTGGGCCTCTGCCTCGTGTCGGTAGCGCTCCTCCTCGGAGATGAACCTGACAAAGATCGCGGAGCCCCAATGCGGTGCCTTATTCATCTTCGCGACGGCCTTCTGGGCAGCAGTGCTGGAGGCGTAGGTGACAAGGATGCGCCCGTCGTTGATGGACACGTTGTTGGTCCAGCCGACGAGGGAGAACTCGGCCATGGTGGGCGCCGAGTCCCCGCGACCCTCGAGGAAGCTATCGACGCAGATGATCCAGTCGGCCTTGATTCGCGGTTCGGAAATTCGCGGCAGATCCGGCCGCTGCGACAGTAAGGGGCCCTCAGCGACATAGCCCGAAATAGCCCGAAGGGCTAGGATTTGGGGCGGGGGCGCCGAAGGGACCCCAGAGGGGGTACCCATCTCTTGGTTTTCGCTCGGGGCTACTGCCCGGATCTACTCTGGGATGGAGCGCCCTGCTGCTCTTTTTGCAAAGGCCGGGTCCTGCCGCGTCTGCGGGTTTACTGGCCTCTCGGGGCCAGCACCCTGAGGGCCGTCCTGGGCCCCCCTCTGCTGAGGTGCCCATTTTAGACAGGGCCTCCGCCTGGCCGCGTCGGCGGGCGGCGGCGGCCCTCGCAGCCCCCGCCGCCTCCTCGAAGCGGTCGTTGGCGGGGTAGGAGGCGACCGGCGCAATAGGCTGGCCTGGCGGGGGTGCGCCCTTGTCAGCGTCTCGCTTGGCAGCGGGTTGTTATCTCTGCCATGAGCATGTGGGGTGGCGAAGCCATCGGCGCTGCCCTCGACGGCGACGTACGTCGGGGCGAAAGCTTGCGCTTCCAGGCGCAGATCAAAGTTGAAACGAGCTGCGCACATCCGAAGCGACGAAGGGGGCATTCTGGTCCTCGTTGGAGCTCTTTTGACTCCCGTGGCAGCCCTCCCTGTCGCGGCAGCTCTGCTGGTGACCGCAGGAGCGCTTCTGTTCTCCCTAGGTGCACCTCCTGTCCTCGTTGAATGGCTTCTGGTCGTCGTAGATCCGCTTGTCCAAATTGGAACGTTTCTGGTCCCCGTTGCAGTGCTGCTGGCGGCCGTGAGGGCGCTGCTGATCCTCGTAGGAGCGCCACTGGTCCTCGCAGGAGCGTTTCTGGTTCCCGCCGTAGCGCTGCTAGTCCCTGGAGGAGCGCTGGCGGTCCTCGCGGGAGGACACCTGGTCCAAGTCGGGGCGCTTTTGGTCCCAGTTGTAGCGCTACTGGTCCTAGTGGGAGCGACCTC